GTACTCACTTTTGTGGCCAGCGGTTTAGACATTAATGGCTGTGTGTTGAGTTATTTTGAGGGGACAGTAAATTTACACTGTTATACAAGCTGTACACTCACTACTTTACATTGTAGCAAAGTGTCATTTCTTCAGTGTTGTCATATGAAAAGATATAATAAAATATTTACAAAAATGTGAGGGGTGTACTCACTACTGTGAGATACTGTAGTTCATCACAATCAAGATGGAAAGAGGCAGAAACAGAGAAAACGATTGAGGATGTGGTATTCACACAATGTCCTCAAACAAGTACCAATGGATGTCTTCATGGGCTTGCCAGAAAAACCTGTTGAATCCAATCTTTTGCATGCAACGGACCTCAACATGCGTTTCACTTGTATCTGTGATGACACCAGGGTATAGATCACCATCATACTTCAGCACACACCATTTGCCAACAACTTCAAGGATTTTGCCACTGAACTTCTGTCATTGTGGGAGCCATGGGAGCTGTCTGCTGAATTTGGAACTTGAAATGCTTTGCATTAAAGCACCCACAGTTCAGATGTTGTGTTGTTGTGCACAAGCAGCTGACATCCCTGTATTTCAGTTCTCCATGGGCTAGGGACACTACCTGATGGGTCCTCATAATGGATGGTGGCACATCATTGGGCATCTCTGAAACTGCTTTCTCAATTGATTCCTCACTGACAAAAAACAACTTGATTGTTGTGTCTGTTTCTTGGGTCTTTAACACGTCGTTCACGATAAAGGCGCTGCTTCTCTGTGGTGGATTAGCACTCTGCAAGTATGGTAAATACATGGTACATATGATACATTTACAGTATAAGTAATGGTAACTGTAAAACATAAAAAGTACAAGTAAATCATATTACATAAACTAATATTCACACTATTATATTAATGGACCAGAGAATGCAACTCACTCCTGTTACTATTACTCTGTCCTCTTATGGCTTATATGAGTAACAGGACTGAAGGTAACAGGACCGAGTTTTTAGCATAGAATTAGCAAATACATGCTAAATAGCCACATGGCACACATGCTAATAGCATGAGGATATTGAGCAAATTCTAGTGATTTATCAAAAATGTGTATTTTTAAAATGAACAAATAACATCTAAAAATAATTTAGGTAACAGGGCAGTATGTTGAGATTGACCCTCTCAGAAACAGTTGAAATATCATCAAATATATTGAAAAGAAAATGAGAGGACTTACCTTTGGTCTCCCCATTGCCTTCAGAAGATCTGGATAATGCAACTTCCTCTTGAAAAATATATTTTGGAATGTTCCAAGTTGATCAGAGGGGGGAATGTGTTAGGGTAACAGGACTGAGTGTAAACCTGGGGGACACGACTAAAATGTGTATTTTATCAAAAATGTTATGGATTTTTTTCTTTCGAAAAAAAAAAGGAAATCATTGATTGGATATAAAGTCACACATAAATGCAAAAAAAAAAATTCTGAAGGATTTTAATCATAATATTTCATGGTAAATTATAGAGGCAGGGAGTGAGGACATGCAACAACTACTATTTCTTTAGTGTTCTAGGTAGTTTTTATTAATGATTTTAATTATACATTCTAAATTTTGCAGTTAGCTAAATGTGAAGACACTTTGCTTAATAATAATGTATTTTAGAGTTCATTTTCATGCATTTGTATACTTTTAATATCCTGTGGACAGAAATGTTTCCCATTCGGTGGAACGTCCCAAAAGCATTTTCCCCCTAACTGAAATTATTTCTTTTACATTGGAATATAATTTGAATATTGATAATATTTAAGTACAAAATTCGAATTTAGTTTTTCAGCCAATTTTAGACAACCCTAGAGCACGATAAGTGGATCGACCGACAGCACAATATGTAGATATTAGATAGATAGACAGATAGAGTGATAAAGAGACAAGAGCGTGATAGGTATATAGAGTGACAGATGGATAGATAGAGCGACAGAGTGCAATATGTAGATAAAGCATCAGATAGCAAAATAGTGGGACAGACTGTGTTATGTCGATAGAGTGATACTGTAGGTAGATAAAGTGTCAGCGATAGCATGATAGACAGAGCAACAGAGCACGATATGTAGATAGAGCGGTAGGTAGATAGAGTGACAGGCAGATAGAGTGCGATATGATAGTGTGACGTAGATAGAGCAACAGATAGATAAAGCGATAGTATAATAGAGCGACAGATCTATAGAGTGATAGATACAGGTAGACTCTGAAAATTCTCTGAATATATGATATGGAAATAAAGACATACGTAAGCAGCGAGGCACAAAATGTCTAAATTGGAATCAGATGTGGGGAGAAAAGATCAATATCAGTTCTGAGTGAGAGAGAGAGAGAGAGAGAGCGCTGAGTTTCAACAGTGAGTCAGTCTGCTTGTATTACTGTGATTATAGAGAGCTTCTGCAGTGGAGAGAGAGAGTGAGAGAGAGAGAGAGAAGGTTGTGCACGATTCACTGTCTTCTCTAGGATACAGCTCGCTTCCCTCCTCGTCTCAGTGCTCCTCTCTCTTCCCACTCAAGTGTATCTGATCCGTCTCTCCCGCACGACTCCTCTGTTTCTCAAGAACTCTGAGGATGGCTCCTCCAGAAACCTCCAGCCACAGATGCCCGTTCTTCAGCTCATGGCTGCCCAGGACGACTCAACACTCTCGGGCTTCCCTCATGCGGACCTGCACTCTGTAAAGTGGATCCGAAGCAGAACAGCAGCTCAAGCCGGTCTCCTTTAGGGTGAGTATCATTGACAAGATATGAGTTTATGAGTGAATGTTGTTTACTGAACCACAGAAAGAGACAGAGGCAATCCAGTGCTTTTTTGTGGATGTGTATTTCATTGTTTTGCTGTAAGTAGTTATTAATGTGCGACTCCTTGTTACATATTGTCATTAGTGATAGTATAAAAGCTGAGAATACGTCCAGGTGGCATCTCAGATGGGTGCAGAGAGAGAGTTGAGGCTAGTGGTGCCAGCACAGATGCCAACACTGTCAGCGTGTGAACTCTCACTGCGTGTCATGACACCAGGTCTGAACAGAACATCACCACTGAGCTGGTCATTAGTAATCCCAGTACAACACAACCGCTCAGATATCAGCTGCTGACTTATTCTGTAGTGATTCCATCAAAAGTATTGAAGTCGAGCATGTGCATTACGTGCTGGTACTTTATTAAGTGATCAGATGCACCATTTTCAGTAGAAAACAGGTGAAAAATCCAGAGCATGGGGTCTTTTGACCCTAGCAACCGCGTTGCAATGCCCCGGCAACCAGCCTGGCATCGTGACAGAGTTTTGCACCACTCGCATTTTTTTCAGCAAAATCAAATATTTATTGATTTCCGGCCGTGTAGTTCAGGTAACCGGTCTGTAGAGTGTTCAGGGAGAAAAATACAGTATGTGGGTGAAGTGAAATAGAAATGTATGAGGAAAAGAGTAGCAAGAAGGTGACAGAATGGACTTATTTCTATGGAAACAGCACTTTGCTCTCTTTCTTCCTCCTCCCTCCATGCACTGCTACTGAAGACGCATATGGATGTTTTTATGTTCCCCACTGAAAAGAATCCGATAATGCATTTGTTTGCAATTTGCTGGGAAATACATCTTCAAATGCCGATCATTTTTTAGATGTGTTAACAAACAAAAAAGTTGAGCTCAGACACGCCCATATACCGCATCACTTCCTGTGTTTACCTCATTCTGTTACCACTGACGTGAAGTCCTGTAATCCAGCTATTGGAGATTTCAGGAGAATTGTGTCTTTCTGTCGCTCAAGCTGTTATTAAACCACTTAAACTGTCTGAATCTCACACTGGATTGGCTCTGTTTCAGAACACATGCCGAAGCAAATAGACGAGGAAATGAGAATTTGGGACTTGAACCTTGCTAAACCTGCTAATATTAGTATAGTTAGTCAATTCATTTAATCTCTGCTGATTTTTGGTTTTAATTGCTCTCATAATCCTAAACCCGCAAACACTCCTAAATAAGCTTTGTTGACCTGTCATTATTTGGATTTTTGTGGTCATATCTATTAGACAAAATCTACGCAATACAGGCTCAGCATGCAGAGATCAGTATGGCACGATTCTGGAATTATTGATACAGTATTTGAATTGCATTAAGGATGTGCAGTGATCCTCATTAACTTTAATGCAGAGCTGTCTGAAAGTTTGACAGTGAGATGATTTCATGCGGCAGCGGTGTGTCGTGATGCACACGCTCCGTAATCCTCCAGAGCTTTTCATCCGCTCTCAAACATGATCCCACACACACTGATAACTGAATATAATTTTTGAGAAATAATAATGTTATTGACGCGAGCACTCACGCATAAGTGCTGATCAGGTAAAGGGATTGTGTGGTCGTGACTGCAGCTCAGACGGCATGGATTCTATGGTTATAGAGGAAAGCACTAGAAACAGAGTGTTATTTTTATCTTTACGCATAGAAAGTGTTACTGTGAATGAACTCAATGCATGACCTCAACATTTGATGCATGCATCTGTTTGTGCATTCATGAGGCTGCTGCAACAGGCCCTTCAGAGAATCCATCCATCCATGAATGATGTTTTGGAGCTTGACAGTGCTGTATAATGAAAGTGGACAATACTATCATATCAGTCATCCATGTTCAGATTTGGGTGATCACTCAGAATGCCCTACTGTTTGTTTGTTTTTTTATGTATTTATTTTTTTTTTTATTTTAATTTTTTCATTTTATTTTGTTAAATTTACTTATTTATTTTGGTTATTTTATTTACAGATGTAATTTTAATTAATTTTATGGTTTATTTGAATGTGTTTATTTTATTTTGCTAATTTCATTTTATTGAATTAATTTTTTAATTAATTTAATTTAAGTTGTTAATTTTATTTTATTTATTGAATATTTATTTTAATTTGTTTATTTTACTTATTTCGGTCATTAAAATTTTTTTTGTTGTTGTATTATTTTTGATTTCTTTATTTTATTATATTGAATACATTTTAATGTCTTGATTATTTATGTATTTATTTATTTGTGTCAAGTGTCAGACCTGTTGTTCACATATTAAACATATCAGTTATACCTTATCTGTCAATCGTCACAAGTTCTTGTTTACATTAATGCTCCATGATGTTAGATGATCAGTGATTTCATATTCATTCAGGCCTTCGGCATGACAATGTGTCATAACTATGAAAATATTCTGGTTTGAGAACTGTTGTGATTTTCATCCCCTTTGGTCAGAGTTTCTTGTTTGTTTCCCATTTCTCTACAGCTGAATTTCTCTTATTCCCCCTCCCCAGAGATCAGTATTAGCCGAGAGATCAGAATAATCATGCCTCATCTTGAAACACTGTGTTGATTTTCCACGTACTAAATTATGCATCCAGCTGGCTTCAGAGGTATAATCATATTTTTGCATGACCATTTGCATGTTGTGGTGATGTAACCCGCAGTATGTTTTATGGTGGATTGGATGCAGTTTGTTGTAGTGTTGAGGAAAAAAGCACTAAATATCATGTTTACTTTCAAACTTTTGAACTTTGATCACAGGATAGTTCTACACATCAAATTAAGATCACAGTTAAAATCATGCATATTATTATTTTGTTAAATTTAAGGGGTCATATGATTTCTTTTTGGCGTGTTACAAGCTGATTGTGCATAGATAAGATCCCTGAAGTTGCAAAGACTAAAGTCAAAACCAAAGAGATATTCTTTATCAAAGTTAAGACTCTGCCACAAAAGTGGTTTGCAAATTTAGAAATGGTGTCATCTCATAAATAACATCTGAGAATGTTAAACACTTGCATGACATGCCTGTAGTCACGGCTTTGAGTCTGTATCACACATGTGTGACCGAGTCACGGGACCTTCAGCAGGTTTTACGCGTTTAGAGTGTGTGTTCCTGAAGGCTGCATGTTTCTGTGAATGTGAACATGAGTTCATACCGGTTCAGAAAGCAATTCCATAAGCATCTTTTGGATTGTGTGTGTGTGTTTTGTAATCTATAAGCCCCCTAATGCTGAATTGTAAAGCCTCAGGCTACTGAAAGAAAAAGCCGGAGAGAGAGAGGGAATGCTATGGAGGAGTAGAGATGCTTGTGCTTTTATTAGGAGCTCTTTTTTTCTGTCGTTCATTTTTCCCTCCATCTCCAAGGATGCCAAGTAGAGAGTGGCAGTTAGAAACAGTCTATGCATATCTAATATGATTGGGCTTGTTAAAAATAGACTGCACTATACGCTCCGTGCTGAGCTTGTATGCGCAGAAAATACTAAAGCAAAACGCAGTAAGGATTCAGTATACATTCTCGTTCTAGAGACTAGAGAGAATTTGATTTGACAAAAATTGTATGGTCCCCTGAGTGCAAGATGATGTCAACAGTATTTTGGTTTCCATAGTAGAGAGCTTGTGCTGCATAAACTACCGTTCAAAAATGTTAATGTTTCTGAAAATCTCTTCTGGTCACCAAGGCTGCAATTATTTGATCAAAAATACAGCAAAATACTGTAATATTGTGAAATATTATTACAATTTCAAATAAGTGTTTTCTATTTGCATATATTTTAAAATGTCATTTATTGCTGTGATCAAAGCTGAATTTTCAGCATCATTATTCCAGTCTTCAGTGTCACATGATCCTTCAGAAATCATTCTAATATGCTGATTTGCTGCTCAATAAATATTTCTGATGATTATCAATGTTGAAAGCAGTTGTGCTGCTTCATGTGTTTGTGGAAAATGTGATATATATTTTATTTTTCAGGATTCTTTGATGAATAGAAAGTTCAAAAGAACAGCATTTATTTGAAATAGAAATCTTTTGTAACATTGAATATAAATACCTTTACTGTCACTTTTGATCAATTTAATGCATCCTTACTGAATAAAAAGTGCAGCTTGTTGACTTCTCTAAGCAATCGGACTTAGAGGATGCTAGAAATGTGTTAAAATCTGACTTGCGTTGAAGCAGGACCATATATCCCACAGATTTGACAGCTTTTATTCAGATCGAGTTGGATAATAAATAAATGTAATCTGAATGCAGTTCAAAATGTGTGTCCTGGCATCATGTTTCTTTTTTCCTTTTGGAATCAAATCATGTGCCGTTTTGTAATTGCAGTGATTAATTATTTGTTGTTTGCAGGCATATTGTTGGAGCTTCTTTGTTTTCTGAGATTTGCGTTGCAAATTTTAATCAATTTGCATATGTCTTGGCTTAATTAGAGCTGAAATGGAGCATTTAACTGTTTTGCTGGCTTTGTGGATGATCAGAACGGTAACTTTCACTATTAACAACAGTAGTTGAAGTCATTTTGTTTTGGTATAATTAAAATATAAAAAAAGTTTCATGTTCTTCAGCGTCTCCTATTTTTCTCTCTTTTTTCTAGAAAGGGCACGCTCATTCAGACCTCGTCTTTCAGCTTACAAGCACACAAAGAACAAGACCTTCAGAGCCGAAGCTTTCAGATTGCTAGAGGAAGTGCAGACAATCATATGTAAAGGTACATTTGACAAGTCCTACGCTATTTTATGGATAATTCAATCCCTCATATGTGTACCGATGTCTATTTGCCTTCTTGTTTTGAAAGATGGAGCAGGAGATTTCAAAAGTGCAGCGCAAGATGTCAGACCTGGAGTCAGTTCTGCAGCAGAAGGACGTGGAGCTCAAGGCTTCAGAAACCCAAAGAACCATCTTAGAACAAGACTTGGCCACCTATATCACCGAATGCAGTGTGAGTTTACTGTTTCCATGTGGAAATGTGGCGTGGTCTGAATTGCACGGCTTGGTTTGTCAAACTTTTTGTTTGTTTTGTGTGTATTTCAGAGTTTGAAGCGCAGTTTGGAGCAGGCCCGCATGGAGGTTACGCAGGAGGATGATAAAGCTCTGCAGCTCCTGCACGACATACGGGAGCAGAGCAACAAACTGCAGGAAATCAAAGAACAGGTGTGAATTCACTTCAGTAGCATTTTTGACAATGTATATTATTCCAGTGAGTGGAGAGCTCTATAAACTGCAAAAAGAAGTTCCTTAATCGGTATTATTGTCTTGTTTTCTAGAAGACATTAACATTTATGCAATTATCAGATGCCTTTGTCCAAAGTGACTTAGATTGCATTAATACATTAATGCATTAAAAAGGTCATATGATGTTGCTAAAAAGAACATTATTTTGTGTATTTGGTGTAACGCAATGTGTTTATGCGGTTTAAGGTTCAAAAACCACATTATTTTCCATATATTGTACATTATTGTTTCTCCTCTATGCCCCGCCTTTCTGAAACGCGTCGATTTTTACAAAGCTCATCGGTCTGAAAAGTGAGGTGTGCTGTGATTGGCCAGCTATCCAGTGCGTTGTGATTGGCTGAATTCCTCAAGCATGTGACGGAAATGTTACGCCCCTACCATACTGTGATGCCGTGTTCCGGAGCGACGAGACAAAACCAATAAAGCCCATTATAAACGAGGCATTTGTTGCATCCAGTGGGGACATAATTACGGATTATAATGACTTATACTGTCTTTTAAGCTGTATACATTTTTATCAGTTCATACATTCTCTGGTTATCAAACTCATAATTCTGTCATTGTAACGTGGTACCTGTTTTTGGAGAATATGCAGGGACCTTAAAGGAATAGTTCACACAAAAATGAAAATTTGCTAAAACTGTCCTAACCCACAGGCCATCCAAGATGTAGAAGAGTTTGTTTCTTTCTTAGATTTGGAGAAATGTAGCATTGCATCATTTGCTCACCAATGGATGCTCTGCAGTGAATGGGTGCCGTCAGAATGAGAGTCCAAACAGCTGATAAACACATCACAATAATCCACAAGTAATCCACACCACTCCAGTCCAGCAGTTAATGTCTTATGAAATTAAAAGCTGAGTGTTTCTAAGAAAGCATTAAGATGTTTTTAACTTCAAACTGGCCAAAATATGAGTCCTTAATCCATAATAATGCTTCATCCAGTGTAAAAGTCATCTGGTCTGAATCAGGAGAGAAATGTGTACAGATCAAGTACTGTTTACAAGCCAACACAGTCCAAAAGAGCTCTAAACAAATATGTGGGTGGGTTTTAATGTGAGAGGACAACAGTTTGAAGTTAAGCAACTGTTTGAAGTTAAATCTTAATGATGGATTTGTTTCTTACAAACACATAGCTTTTCATTTCACAAGACGTTAATTAATGGACTGGAGTGGTGTGGATTACTTGTGGATTATTGTGATGTTTTTATCAGCTGTTTGGACTCTCATTCTGACGGCACCCATTCACTGCAGAGCATCCATTGCTGAGCAAGTGATGCAATGCTACATTTCTCCAAATCTGATGAAGAAACAAACTCATCTACATCTTGGATGGCCTAAGGGTGAGTACATTTTCAGCAAATGTTTATTTTTTGCTGAACTATTTACTAATGAACTAAATCACAACACAAACACAAAATGTTTTCAAAACATTTCATAATAAGTTTTTATTTTTGTGTGTGTGTCTGCAGTGGTGTATGTACCTCTGACTGACATAACCAGAGGTTTCAGGATAGTGTGCATTGTAGTTCATTAAAGTATGTTTAAATGCTGGAGCATCTTGTGACATGTGTTTTTGTTTAGCACTGGGAGGTCTGAGTGAGCATTTCACAGATTATTCCCATAGAGCTTCACAGGCGTCTGCTAATAAGAGCCCTGCTGATAGAGTCCACAGTATGAGTACAAATGATCTCTGTCCATCTCAGCTTCTGAAACACTATCTGAAATAGCGATGGCCACTTAAAGTCACGAGTAAAGTGATGGAGAATGCAAGACTGAATGAGATGTGAAGGTAAGAACATAATGGAAAAACAGCCTGCTTTCTGCCGCTTCTTGCACGTCTCCCCCAGAGCCAGGCTCCATCGCACTGTGGTTGCCATGGAGACAAAAATGGTACCTCGCAGTGAAGGATGTTGCAGATGCAGTGGAAATGCTGTCGTGACAAACCGGCAAAGGTCTCAAATTAGCAACAATCAGACTTTTAAATGAAGTGTTCACTTTTCATTTATCCTACAGATTTGATCAAACTGTTTGGTTTGATAAAATTTCAGTTTCGTTTCACAGAACTTTGCTGCTAGTTGATGATTTCAAACTCTGCTGCATAGTCAAATTGTCTTTGTGCATGTGTTTTGTTATATTTATTAATATTTATGAACTAAACAAGGAATAGCGATAAGATATATAATTATTTTTTATAATTAATACAAGACTCAACTATATATATATATATGTACTGTGTAAATATACAAACACACACACACACGTTTGTTTCTGTGGACTTTCCATAGATTTCTATTACTTTTATACTGACCAAAGATATTTTCTATCCCCTAACCCAACCCTAATGTTACATTTTCAGATAAACATCATTTACTATTTTTAATCTTTTTTCCCTTGTGGGGACCACAGTTCGGTCCCCACAATGTAAAACATTTCATGTTTTACTATTCTTGTGGGGACATTTGGTCCCCACAATGTAGCATAAACAAGTAGACACACACACTCACACATATATCAAGCGATTTTTTTATCTAATTGCATGATGTGCTGTTAATTAATTGGGGCCTCATCTATAAAATGTGCGTACGCGCAGATTTGATCTTAGTGTGTGCATATGCTAAAATCCACGGCAACGTTCATATTTATAAAAACGATCTTTGACATGGAAAAGTACTTACCGCCACATCAGGCTCTGAGCAGGCGTACGAACTTTTCCTTGTGGCAAAGTCGGAGTAGTGCAACTATTTGAACATCTAAGCTGCAATAATAATAAGAGCGGTGTACATGCAAGCACCGAATTCATCATAAGCAATGAAGATGCAGTGTGAGAGATTAATTGTGCAGTGTAGTCAGATTTTTTATTAACGGGAGTTTTTGCGAGATTAAACTGACCTTTTTAGTAGCCTAATGTTGAGAGTTCTTTTCTCACTTTCTGTAGTTTATTCCAAGTTGTTTTTGTTGTTGTTTTTTTTTTGTTTTTTACAAAACCCACTGCCGCACCGCAACTGTGTGCAGTGTGAACGCTTAATATATGAAAAAAATACGCACCGCACTGCAAACGGAGTAATGTGAACCTGGCATTATGTGTGTGTGCTGCGAGTGTGCATGAGCGCACGGTCTCCAGGAGCTGAATGGATAAACACTGGCAAGAATTTAAAATAAATGCAATTTATAGACTTTAGTGACGATGCAACACTGCCGCGATTGTGCAAGTGACAATTCCTGTCAACTGTGCAGTGTGCAGCTCCAATTACTTTGAGTTATTTAATGAAGAAATATGAGTTGCACCTCACCTTCAGCATAAGAATTATTTTACCCGCGCCAGACAGAGACTGAGACGGTGCTGCAGCATGTCGTGCCAAACATCTCATGGCAGCGCATCATCAGCTTGAGATCGGTTTTTTGAGATCGGCCTTTTTAGAGACCGCTGATCAATCATCCCAAAGCGATTATCGGCCGATAGTGATCGGTAGCCGATCAATCGGAGCACCCCTAATTAATTATGCTTTGCAATGCGCCTTATAATGCATTGCATGATCTCATAAATAATTGTAACCACAGTTATAATACATTATAATACTTATCTCTTCATTGTTACACCTTTAGAAAGTTTAATCCATTAAATCAAATGAAAAACAAAACTTTCAAATATTATAATGCAATTTAACTTTGATTGCAGTTATTTATGAAAAGATATAATACATTACGACGTACATTATGAATACCTTTATAATGTATTCTACATAAATGCTTTGGTGGTTACAAATGTTTTTTTTATGAATGTTGAATAATGAAAATATATATATTTTTTAATGAAATTATACTCTCAATATGAAACGAAAACTGCCTTGCTTTTGCTCTCTGTTTCTGTTGTGAAAATTAATATTATTATTAATAAGTTACTTTTTACTAAATTTTCACATGTTAGTCTAAAATGTTTGAATGCACTAAAAAAATACGTTAATATTTAATACAAAACATTTTAGACATAATAGTCAGTTTGTCTGTTTTTGCTCCACCGCGAAAATATATTTACAAACAAAGACAAAGCAGAAGCAGAAACAAAGTGTTTCTTTGCGAATAAATCAAGTATTTTCCAACAAATCAGTTACATGAATGATTCAATATATTGCTGCTGCCACACAGATCTAAAATAAACGAGCAATTTATTTCCTAGCTGTTTACCTTCACAAACATAACCCACTGTTTTTGTAACTCGTGTGTTTTTAACGTAAACTTGTGTGTGAATGAGAACTTAGTTTAGTACTCACATTCTGTGACAGCCGCTTTCTGTCCGTGTGCGCTCAGAAAACCGAATATCAGTAGTTTAGACTCATATGGTTTAAAACGCATTATTTCAGCATGATAAACATGATAATCAGAACCAAAACAGATGTTTTTAGCAGGTCCGAGCTGTAATGGCAGCTCTATTCTGGAAAAGGGGGCGGGGAGCAGCAGCTTATTTGAATTTAAAGACACAGGCCTGAAAAACAGCGTGTTTCTACTTCCACTCAAAATAGACATTTTCAAAATGATATAATAAATGATCTGTTGAGTATTTTGAGCTGAAACTTAACAGACACATTCTGGGGACACCAGAGACTTATATTACATTTTGTAAAAAGGGGCATAATATGTCTCCTTTAAAGATGGTAATTTGTCGCCACTTACTGTTTAAAAGTAACTTGCAGAAACAACATATTTGTAATGATTGGTATTTGCAAACACAAACAAGCAAAAAAAAAAAAGTTAATAGAGCTTTTATTCTCATATAAGTGACTTGTAATCAGCAGTTTTACATTTTGTTGTTGTGCCTAATTTGATTACATTATTCACAGTGCTTTATGTGGGATAGTAGCAGGTAATTTCCTCATCACTGCTGAGTTTTTAAAGCCTTTTTTAAATTTAAAGTTTATAAT